TTTGGGTTTAGAGCTTCAAACTCAGCAACGGGTTTGGGAAAGGAGTGTGAGAGGAGAGACGAAGCTTAATTTAGGAGAGAGAAGCATGAATTCTCAAATTTTTTCGCATTTTTTACGGAAATGTTAACAAAGGACCATTCGTGGAAAATAATATCATAATTGAGAACTAAATTATTGATATTTGATATGTAGGTACTAAATATGTAAAAAGAACTATAATTGAGGACCTTTTATGGAATTACTCTTAAAAAATCTATGTAAAATTGTGTTGAATTAAAATAATACACAAAGTTAACATAATTCATAGATTCTAAACAATCTATTGTAAGAAAGAAAATGGAGTGAAGAGAAAATGAAGAGAAAGTGAATGGAAAATAATAATTGTTTGGATGGATAGAAAATGATAGTAAACGTGAGGAGAAAGGAAATGTAATGAAATAAAAAGACATTTTCATCTTTACTTTTTTTAAAAAGAGTGAAATATAAAGATTACGGGGCAAAGTAGTAATTTCACTCCGTTTCTCTCCAATTTGAGAATTTTCACGCCCAAGGAGGATTTGGGTTTTCCCCTCTCCCTTTTCTTTCTCTCCAAAATCCTTCCATCCAAACATAGGGTTAGTTTCCTCATATTTGGCTTTTTCCTGATTCCTTAGAATGAATTCATTTTTATTTGGGAGCATGCCTGATGAAAAACATAACCACGTACAAAGGTGAGAGTATTTCACAATAGTAAGAAGCACCAGACTGTTCATATATGACTCCAGTTTTTAGAGTTAAAGTTACTCCCTCCGTCCGGATTTTAAGTACCCATTTTGACTTTTGGTCATTTTTATTGGGTATTGACTTTGGGAAGGAAATGTCCACAATACCCTTATTCCCCTTCCCTCATCCTTCCCTATTATCTCAACTATCTCAACAGTGCTCTTCCCTGCCCACACCTCCACCGCCACCTCCCAAACGCCCCATTGACCCTACCCACGCCCCCACCGTCAGCTCCACCGCCGCACCCCGCCGTCAGCTCCACCCGCCGCACCCCCAC